TGTATAGCATTGTTACGTTCCTTTAACTACATTCTTTAATTTCTAATATTTAATAAAAAAAAAACTTTTTTCTTATTAATACAACTTGTAAAATATCTTCAAATGTGTGTATATGTATTCCGTTTATAGTACTGAGCTATGTTCTTTTTTGTGTAACATTTTGCTATGCTGTTATTACAATACAACTAATGTTTTTATCTATGTACTACCAATTTTGTTGCCTTGACCTCGACATTCGCATTCTGTAATAGAGTCGTAATATGGGTACTACGAGGAACAGTAGAAGCATTTAAATAAAAACAATAGAACACGATAAATCAGAGTGTTAAGATTATTTTATCGTATAATTTCGATATAAAATTAATACATAATTCTGCAGGAGAACGCCCAATATGAATGCAGTTGTTTGATTGCCCTATAGTTTTAAGAAAAAGATATATGCCACCAGAAATATTAAAAATACAGAGTGTAGTAACTATGATAATTAAATTAACAGCCTTAAATTCTCAATGGTGCCCGGTGACGTAGAGGTCTTGACAGGTTTTGCATACCGAACAGCTCTATAAGAGCAAGCTGTAGGTACCTTGCTACTCCCAAGGCGTTAAACTCTATACATACATATATACTATATACGGAAGCTATATATTATTATTATATTAAATTTTGTGGTGACTCTTAAATAAGTGCAAATATTTTCAGGGGTAGTATATTTCGATCCCAGAAACATGTCCATAGTTTTTTTTCGCGAAAGAAAATTTTTGAAAATTTGGAATTATTCCAAAAAAAAATTTTTTAATTTTTTAGCCGACCATACCAACAGGTACGGTAGGCTATTAAGATCGGAAAAAAAAGGTTTTTTTTAATTTCACTCAAAAAATGAGTTGTTTGGATCATAAGTGACCTAAATACAAAATATTTTCATGGTGTCTTCTTGTCTGTCTGACCGTCTGTCCGTCTGTAACACGATTTCTCAAAAACCACTAAACCGATTTTAACCAAATTTGGTACAAAAATACTGTGGCACCCGAGAATTTGGCTATTAGTTTTTGGTGGGGGTGGGGGGTATGTAAAGGGAGGGGGTTAAAAATTTTAAAAAATCGTAACTCCAAAATTACAATAGCTAGCGAAACGCGGTTTTCAATTTAAGATTAGGAATAATATTTCCAACAAAATTTGTAATAACATCAAAATCAGTCAGAGTCGCAGTTTTTGAGATATTCCGTGTTTCCGTAGTCCGTTTTTGAGAAAATCCCATCGGACGCGACCCCAGGTGGCGGATAGGGGAAATAACCGCGGACCAAAATTGGAAAAATTCCTTTACTTTGAAACTAAAAGAACTGCCTACCAACTTTTTATTAACATATTTTAGTATGGGCGGCTATACGTGCCTCGCAGCGCCAATTTTTTAATTTTAAGTTAAAAAACATAACTATATGGTAACATACATAGTAGATTAAATTTACAAGAAGAAAATCCAGAAAAGATACAGTGGTTCTCAAAATTTAACCAAAAAATAATTTTTTTTCTTAAATTTTGAAAGTAAAATAACTCGGTTATTTTAGATTTATTTGAAATGAAAAACGGTAAAGAGAAAATATTTTCACTTTTTTAACACTCACCCTTGTATATAATGCAAGTATGTACCTAAAAGGGAAATTAAAACAACTTTCGTTGCACGTCATCAATGACACCATGTGTCTTATGAAGTTTGCTGGTGGTTGTATTATGATGTGCAACCAAAGTTATTTTAATTTCCCTTATACATGAATTTTTAAACTTAATCGTGGGGGTTTCTGATTTGGTTTCTGATTCACACCTCTCAATTTTACAATGGAAAATATTTATAATGACATCTAACAATAAACGTTTGAGTCTTATGAGTGTTTTGGAGGTTTGTCAATTTGGCAAGTTGATAAAGAGATTATAAAAACGATAATCCAAACACTATATTGTTTTTTAATCGTATAACAATGAAATAATTTTATTGGAAGCGACTTAACTTTAGAATTCAAGGGTATTGCAGTTCTTTGATTTATTTCCGGACTTTTTATTGCATTTAAGGTACTCTGCTAACGGTTTATAAATCACAGAATGCAGACACGATATCTTGACACACCTCTTTTAAGTAAATTGAAGAAATGCTTTTGAAAAATTGAAGGGTGCCATTTAATAATCTCTTCCAGGCCAGTGCTATTAAAATACGAACATGCTTTTTATTACCGCAAATAATTTACATATAAATACCTATAATAATATATCTTTATTTATCATTTATATTTGCCTGCAATAAAAAAGATAGATTTGTAATTAATATACCGACATATTGAATAATTTGAATATATACATGGTTAGATCATGTTTATGCTGTTAACTTAAGCGATTATAGTTGATCATTAATCAAAAACAGCGAAAAACAATATAATTAAAAATTTCACGATTCTTTTTTTATCAACGTTTAGAAATTCATTAACAAGATCTGAAAATATAATTGTTTTGATATGGGAAAGTTGAAATACAATGTGAATATGACTCTACAAAATTTGAGGGAAAATGAAAATGGTGTTGGTTATACAAGTTATTCTTAAAGCAAGATCACAGTTGATAAAAATACAGAATAATATTAATCTTATGCAGGTTGGAACAGGAAGTAACGATACTAGAATTTAGATGGTAGTTTTTATGTCTTTGGTGTTTATTAAAATTTAAAAGACAGGGTTTTTCTACAATCATGACTTGAGCACAAAAACGAAACTTGCAGTGTACCGAGCAATAATAATCCCCACCATTTTATATGAAAGCGAAACCTGGATGCCGTATCGCCGGCACACGAACGCATTAAAGCGAAAGCGCTTAATTCATGATCCCACTTAAGATGGGCTGGTTACGTTTGAAGGATGCAAGACAAACGCCTACCGAACTCTCTTATTTATGATGAGCTTGTAAGACGGTAACAGGAAATCGGGTGAACAACTCAAAAGATACAAGGATATTTTCCATGAAAACTTAAAAGGGATAAGCATGCACAATCAGTGAGAGGAAGCAGAGTACAATAGAACTCAATGGAAAAGAATTGTAAACTCAGTTAACAACGACAACCAAAAAGAGACAACAAAGTAATGAGATTTTTGAATGTCCGGAGTTTTGCAGAGGGATAACATCACGTATCGGGCTCTTCAGTCACAGAACAGCTCATGAAATAAAACGCCTTTTGTAACTATTTTCTGATGCGTGTCAAATACTCGTCAGCGAGTAATGGCATTAAGTAAGTAAGGTGTTTATTACTGAAAACAGAAAATTGCACAGTTCAGTTACAATACACTATTTTTTTTTCTGGTCTAACAAGTCTGCCATTAATCACAACAATTAAAAATATTTATAATGACATCTAACAATCAACGTTTGAGTTTTTTGAGTATTGCTCAGAGCGGCAAGTGCCTGCCACCCAGTACCGATTTCGATCCTCAGTCCCAACTATTTATGCATCCACTATATTAGAAGCAGTGTTTTAATAATTTGTGACTTTGTAACCAATCTGACTGTCACAATTACATTCCTTTACAATAAAGACATTAATTTCATAAGAAAATGAAAAGTTGTTGTATTCATATATTTTCCTTAGCATACAACAATATAAGCAAACAAAAGGTGCCTTTTCAAAGGTGTGGTGTGTACAGTGGGCGTGCGATACCTGCGTTCACGAAACTCGACGAGAATTTGATACAAACGAACAGACAACAAAGGCAATGTCCAGTTTTGCAATTTTCATTATCTGTCCTTCAGACCAAAAAAGGATTTGAATAGAAGTTATACAGGATTCCTGTCGTATTATGGGAATATATTATCTAGAAACTCATGTTTAAAGATGTACTGAAGGAAATACACATTTCTTTTGATTATATTTCAAATATTTAAATACTGATATATCTTTAGTACATATTCTGCACTAATAATTACGTTTCTTTTCTTTTTAATTTCTGTGGAAGTTTTTATACTGCCTAATTAACGGATTAAACAATTTTATAACAATGAATTACGTGCATTTTAAATAAGATAACTATGTGGAATGGATATGGATGGAAGATAACTATTGGAATTTTCTTTATAAATTTAATTCCTTTAGAAAAATATGAAAAAGATCTAAATTTTATCTAACGAATGGTATTGCATAATATCGATATTTTTCCAAATTATAATAATTTTCAATTCTTTAAATAGTCTGGGTTTTTCGTCACTGGAAGAAAGTCTACAAAATAAAAAGAATAATTTTTGTAAACGCCATTGCGTTGAGTCCAAACGGAAACTAGCGTGTTAGTAGCTTTTTACCGCTAAAACAAATTTGCCCAAAAAAACAAAATTGCTTAACTTTTCAAGGGGTCACCTCCTCCCATTGTCAGTCGTAAAATAATTCGATAAACATTTTTGTAGTTTAGGCAAATTTGTTTTACCACTAAAAACCACTGAGAAACGTAAACTATGGATGACAGAATATGGTTTAACAGAGAATATAAACTCAAAATGTGGGTCTGTTTATAACCGTATTTTTAAGTATAATTTTGTTATGTTATATATTATAAAAGGTTAAAACAGCTTGTTCGAGTGTTATCCTTTATATTTGCATTGAAAACATACGAGTAACAGAAAATATTGAATTTGATGGTAAATAGTAAATTTACATTTTCGCAGGGACAAAAATAACCCAAAACAAGCTATTGTATTCAAATTTGATAGGAAATGTTACTTATCGCTAAACTTTTAGTTTGTACATTATAAAATAGTGTTCGGTTATTGGTTGTTGTGACATATTTTCTTTTAAAACTACCATCTGGTAAAGATATTCTCCTTGAAAAAGGGATATTACGATAAGCAAACAGAATAAGGTAAAGATATTTACGTATATCAAATACAAAAATGGAAAATATTTTAATATATCTATAAAAATTAATTCTAATATTCTCTAATACTTCTGATTTAAGACATTTAAAAGATTATTTTTGTTTCAGGTGATTAAAGATGGGTTGACGGCAGAAAAAGAAAGCACGAAGCACGCAGAAATGAAGAAAATACAAGCAGGAGATTTAACGTATGAAGAAAATAAAGCCGCGGCAGCCACTAGAGCTAGGCTAGAAATTGACGGAATATCAGCAGAGAAAAGCCAAATAAAAGCAAAAGTGAGTACAACTTTTATACCACAATCTCAAAATCTGTACGGGTTATTTTTTGACACTGACTGTAGACCGAGATATATCATTATTAAATCAATTATCCTGTGTAAGCGTACGTCCATAGTGCACCGGCTTTCCGCTTTTCGTTGGCCGGCTTATCGCTTTGTGAAATTTTGCCATTGAAGTAGGAAGCGGGAATGTCATTTGCCATTATGGAGCTATCCCTTGTGGATCTATTATGTCTTTTTATTAGCAAATATTTATATCTACATATATAAAATGCTAATGTTTATCTGTGTCGTCTCTACTGCAGTAACGACTTGCTCTAGAAAGTTGCTTTTTTTACTAAAAGATAGCTAATTGGCTCTCCTAAAAACTGTCGTCGCCGGATTTTTTGTTTTTCATTTAATTAAAAAAAAAATAAAAAGTTTTTTTTCCTGATGTCGCGTCGTGGCGGATGCGCCAGGCTTCAACTAGTTCATATTAACTTGATACAAAAAGTACTACTCGCGTTCATGAAATTAATAGGCCTCATTTTGAATTTGGTAAATATCATACAATATATACACAACCCTTACCTCACCCTCAACAATTTTAGGAATATTTCCGCATGGAGAAAGAAACATTGAAGTAGATTTTCAACAAAATTGAAAACCGTTTAAAAAAACGCTACAATTTTCAAAATATATAGATGTGCACAAGATGGTTATGATTAAAATCAATTAATATTTAATAATTTTGTAAGTAAATAGCTTGAATTGTGCTAAAGCGTAACCTTTATTGGAAATTTAGAAATGAGCCGAGCAAGGTAGATTAAGTTTGGGGGAATTGAATTGGCTTTAATAGGGGTAGCGATGATAAAACTGTCATTCCGATAAAAGCGGGTAAAAGCAGTTTAAGCTGGTTGAAGCTGGCTGGAGCACTATAGCCATACGCATATAGCTGTTCCTCTATTTTCACCGCTAATCCGCCGCGATAAAGCGAAAAGCAGGAAGCCGGTGCACTGTGGACGTACACTAATAGGAGCTACTCTTATTTACCTCACGGGTGTAGCCGGCACCATAGAAATATCATTTAGTTTTGGTAGTACCGGTTACCGGTATAGCTCGTACGTTTTTGTCTACATAGATTCTAGGTAAACATTTTTGTAGTAAAGGATAGTTCAAACTAGTTCACAGTTTCTTGGTTCAAACCGAACGTCTTTATAACATTTTACTCTCCAAACCTTGAAAAGAGAAATAACACTTTTTTATTTTCATATTATTATAAAAATAAATATTTATGAAATCCCGATCTAGGTTTACTAGTCAATAATTAACATGGCAATGTAACGTGCTAATAACGTCAAGATTTAGCACAAATTTTCGGAAATATTTCAAATTAAAAAAAAAGTTCTTACCTAAATTTAGATTCCGGAATAGGAATTAAAAAATTATCAAAACTTTTAATTATATAAACGATATGCGTTAGAAAACTTTAACCTTCGGTACGATACACATGTATTCATCACACTAATTGCCTTCCGCAACTAAAATTAACGCATTTAAGTCCAAGGACAGACAAACATTAGCACAACGTTACGTCATTTTGTTGACAAGAAAAAAGCGCTCGAAAATTTTTATTAATTTATTGTTTATTAACACCATCGCTGGTATAGGCTAAAATTAATTTCATTGGGCCCAAAACATATATGACGTCAAGGAAAAAACTGAAGTGTGAACGGAGAGTTTATGAGAATAATCGTCAAAATCTCCCTATAGTTGAAGAGTAATCGGTGTAGAGGAATAACAATAAACCGGGGTATAAATATTAGTGTTTGGATATCGTTATGCGGGAGTGTTACGTATTGTAAACATAGTTGTTAGTGATCGATGTTTGAGTAACGATTGAAGACTATATTTTAAAAAAAATTGAACGCAGTTTTACTAGATGGCTGATACGGTAACGTTGGAACAGATTTTAATTTGTCAAAGTGTCTATTAAACTTCGGATTAACATGACATGTGCTTGAGTTCATGCGCAGTGTGGTTACAGTGCCGTCTGTTGATATAGAATTCCGTCTATGGCAGCAATGAAACAGATGAACGGATAATGACAATAGTAAGCAAATACCCAAGTTTAGTTAGTTTTATTTTAATAGGGGATTCTCTCCTAACTTCTACTATTATGTTTTGTTCATGCCAAGAAGTGCTACTATTTTTCTAAATGGCACGTTAGTGGTATGTACGTCTGAGGGAGTACTACATGTTATCTTAATTACAAGACGAGGCGGAATATAATTATGATTATCTAAAACTTTAAAACTACTTGTTCAAAATTGTGTAGTATATTTCGACCCCAGAAACACTATGTGAGGTCTATGAGGTTTAAACATTTTATTTTGGCAATTTGAAATTTTTTGGATTTTTTTTTTAGTTTTTAGTTACAAAACATAATTTGTTGATAATATAGCAACATTGGTAGTAGATTAAATTTACAAGAAAGAAAACCCAGAAAAGATCTGGTGGTTCTCAAAATTTAAGAAAAAATCATTTTTTTTTATTTTCAAAGTAAAATAACTGGGTTATTTTGGACTTATTTGAAAATCGTTTCAGAGAAAATAATACCTCATTTATCGAGATCTTTACCAGTCCTGAAAATATTTTGAATTATTTAAGACTCACCCTGTATATGCTAAAAAGTGATATAAGTACATAATATCCATTTAGCTTTATAAAATTCATTTAATTTTCAAAAGTGTCTGTGAATGAAAACTAGTACATCCTATTTTTTTGTAATATCTGTAGTCATTTCACACTTAATATATTTTTATATGAAATATTGTCAAGTAGTTTGTATAAAAAAAGAGATAAATAAAAATTAATGAGCTATCAAGGTTGAATTGCGATTTAAAATTTCAAGATAAATAGAAGAGAAAAAATTTGAATATAAATGAAATTAAAATTCTTATTAAACTTTAATTTAACAGCAAGTTAGCACAAGTTATGAACAGTCACATTTCCTTATTTTGTAAACATCTACCTATTTGTTAATACAAACAGAATTTGTATACATATGTAAATATCCAAATTTAATGGAATCTGTGTATGTGTGACTGTCCTCTTTATTTACACATTAATTAAAGTCAGAAATACGACACCTTCTTGAGCTTTTAATTGTCTATGTTTTAAATGTTTATAACAAATAAACATCTTACTATTAAGAAGCATTATTAATCATACATTTTGAAAGTCTTGGAATAATAATTAGAAAGAGAATTTCAAAATTATAGCTTTGATAGTTTTTTGAGAAATTTTCACTAGAAATATTTATTCTACAACTAATAATTTTCCACCTTGGTCTCTAAATTTTTATTTCTAATTGTGGCACACCTGAAAAGGTGTGTTTGTTGTTGCGTTTTATGAGCTGACCTGAATAACTTTTGCGCAAAGGCCGCCACGACAGCGATCCTTCGGGTCAAGGTTCGACACTTAGCCAGGGGTGTAACAAAAATTAAAAAATGCATCTGAAATTGGCAGTTGCATAAGAGGGTAACATTAGCTATTATCATAATCAATAAACAGTATCATTTTTCTTTTTTTACGTCATTATTGCCAGGAAATAAGAGAAAATGATTTGCTTTTTTCAAAAATACTATTTTTTTTTGTAAATAAATTGAAAATTTATATGTTTTTACATCATCTAACGCCACTTCATACATTTTGTTACGAATTCAGTAAGTGCTATAACAGCAAAATAAAACACTAATTCATCACAATAACCCGAAACATTTTACTTTTGTACTCGACGCGGGTTTCGCTAACCATGTTACGAATCTAATCATCATCAGCAGATAGTTAACATTACTTTTCTACTATTTTATATTAGTTTTTTAATGTTTCTATAATTAGTGTTAATTTTTGACAAATTTTAGTCACTATTTACTAATCGACCTCGTAAAAATTACCATCGATTGTGATTCCCCAGCCGTCTTCGACGCCGTTTCTTTTTCGATCATACGGTATATGGTTAGTAAAACTTGATCAATATTTGGCATTGTCGGTGTTATCACAGTAAACTTTTCCACTTATTTTCGGAATTTATTTATGTTCGTCTGTTTTTTTCATTTTTAACTTTCTGTAAAATTACCTACGATAAAACGCCTACCATATCCACAATAATTATGGTGCTTTCTGATCAATCTCAGCTCACGCAAAGTTTTTCTCGGAATGTTCTATTCTTTTACAGCAGTAGCGTGCAACCAATATGTATAAGGGAATTTTTTATATACGACTATCAAAAAAATAATGAAATTCCAATTTGAAGTTAAAAAAATTGTTTAAAGTATATTTTTAAAATTGTTTAACACTTCAAATTTATTATAAAACATAATTATGAGTGTTAAATTAGTGCAAATATTTTTAGGGTAGTATATTTCGACCCCAGAAACACGATTATAATGTTTTTTTCGGTAAATTTCTTTTATGAAAATTTGGATTTTTTTTAATTTTTAGTTAAAAACCATAATTTCTTGATAATATGGCAACATAGTTACCAAATAAGTCCAAAATAACCAAGTTATTTTACTTTGAAAATTTCCAAAAAAAAGTGATTTTTTGCTCTCAAAATTTAGAGAACCACACTCGGAACCACTCGATCTTTTCTGAGTTTTCTTTCTTGTAAATTTAATCTACTAGCTGTGTTGCCATATTATCAAGAAATTATGTTTAGTAAAAACTAAAAAAAATCAAAAAAAATTTTCAAAAAATTCCAAATTTTCCAAAAAAATGTTTTTCTTGAAACGTCATAATTGTCTTTCTGGGCTCGAAATATACTACCCCCAGAAATATTTGCACCTATTTAAGACTCACCCTGTATATACATACTGGGTGTCCCAGAAATAAGTGCAAGTATTTTAAGGGCTGGTAGATCTCGATAAAAGAAACATATTTTATCTTTATCGCTTTTCAAATAAGTCCAAAAAACGGAGTTACTTTACTTTGAAAATTTCCCCCAAAAAATATTTT